AGATGGTCCAGTGGTTAGAGCGCGAATTTACTGACTGGAAGGTCCGTGGTTCGAACGCGACCAGGCTTGGGTAACCTGGCTGCATCCCAGCCCTCACGCTTCCCTCTGGTGGCTTGGCGTTAGGCCCCGAAAGGGTGCTACCGTTGAATAATAACTCAGCTGTTTGCCTAATTTTCTATCCAATCAATCAAACCTACCATATTATATATATATATATATATATATATATATATAATATGGTAGGTTTGATTGATTGGATAGAAAATTAGGCAAACAGCTGAGTTATTATTCAACGGTAGCACCCTTTCGGGGCCTAACGCCAAGCCACCAGAGGGAAGCGTGAGGGCTGGGATGCAGCCAGGTTACCCAAGCCTGGTCGCGTTCGAACCACGGACCTTCCAGTCAGTAAATTCGCGCTCTAACCACTGGACCATCTCGCTGATTAGAAGGGTAACAGCTGATCGAACAGGTTTATCCGCTCCACCACCGAGGCAAGCAGGCATGCGACGTGACTGGTAGCACAAGTGATTCATGGCCGACTTCCACATTCTTTGCTGAGCTCCAACAAAGGGAAGAGGCTTCGTGCGGCTTAACGGCATTGGAACCAACTAATGCCGTTTAAAATGCAGAAACGCTTATCTCTGGGGTGAAATCGCTACATCAATCTACTGGCAACAGATATCAATGAAAAAGTCAATCGTTCAGCTGTAACACCTTTCCGGTGCCTAGCTGCCATGCCACCCGAAGGATGCACGAGGACTGGGATATTGCTAGGTTGCCCAAGTCTAGACAGGGGGTGTCGAGAGGCAGAGGTCGAGTTCGAACTACGGAACTTCCTGTCAGTAAATTCGCGCTCTAACCACTTGAGCCATCTCGCCCTTGGCAACAGATGGGTATAATTGCAAGCCGCGAATGGAAGCAAATGAAAGGTTCGCCAATAAAAAAGGCTTGTTGTGGAACGCAGTAGTGGCCTGTGTGTGTGTGTTGTGTAAACCGCCATCTCGGTTAGCTAAAAACGAAAGACCAGCTATGGACATTAGGATATCCCATTAAAACAAATTGATACATCGTAATCTAGGCAAATTTGTGGCGGGAACAGAAACCTACTTCACAGCCGGACGATGGACAATATTCGATTAAAACCGGTCCAGGATTCATCGCCGACCACTGAGCTTGCGTTGAGCTGGTCATCCGACTGATTAATGGCATCTCTTCTTGAAGTAACAACACTAGGTCCGGGTACTCTGCAGCTGTCAGACGAATACGGCGACCACCATGGGGAGGAAGAAACGCGTCTGCCAGATCTACGCCATCTTGGAGCAACCGATAACCGTTGAATTGTTTGTCTTCCATTATGGAGAAGAGGCGGACGCCACTGCTGACGATTTTCAAACCTGAAGGAAGTTAGTTTGGAATTCAAAGCGTGAGGGTATTTGGCGCCATGATGTATCATCAGTGTCCATGGATAGAACAACTAGGAGAACCCCTGATCCGGAGGAAAGCCAGAAACAGTCAAGTACCAAGAGTCAGCCGCTCTGGAAATTCGGCAAACGACCAACGTTAGACTCCCGTGAGAAGAAATGCTTCGGTAAAACATGTGGTGAGAGTGAACTATCATCCGCTGATGATAAAGGTCGGCCAAACTAATCAGCTAAAAGAAATCGTTTGATACAGAGATAAGCGGACTTGTTATGCGTACTTCGGTGATGAACCTTGAATGACATACGTCAAATATTACTATTGACAGCCATAATAAAAGATACCTCACTTGTAAACCCACGGATTAGGGTACATGTGACCATCTTGCGACAACAAGAAGGTCCGAAAACATTGGGGAGTGTCTACACCTTCGAACGCTTCGTCAAGAGGTGCGGAAAGATGTTAGAACCCCAGGTGATAATCAGGTCTTGCGATGTATTTGACCAAACACAGTAGGGCTTACACAATCTTGTGAGGAACGCAGCATCGACAATTATTGCACATTGTGTGATAGCTTTTACCGCCCCACCTCCGGTTTGACATTAGAAGGAGTCGTAATGTGTAACACATGTCCCAGCAGAGCCATTAATCTCCTCCTCTGCAATAGCCTTTCTGAAGTAGCTTCAATTAATTCCCATAGTGGATTTTACAAGAACACTGAACACCCCTCTCACACAAGAGGGTGTGTGTAAACAAGAGTCCTGTTTACAGCAAGCGCCATACTATTCGTCTCAAGAGATTAGTGGTTGAACTGACTGACAGTTTTTCTTTGAACAGACGGTTGAGACACCCAACAGAGTGCGGTAGACTGTACAGACCGTTTTCATCCGGACTTGTTAGCATATGCCGCAAATACAACTGAACGGTGTGTGTGTGTGTGCGCGCGCATCAATCTTTCTGTCTTATTGATATGGTTTGGGTAACGCGTGCCAAGGTATTGGGGCCCTTCCAGACATGAAAAGAGTACAGAAAACGACGCACCCCCAAGGTCACCATCGAGTCCACACGTTCCGGATAGCAGGTGCGTTGGCGGAACTCACCAAACACGGCTTAACAGCATACGACCAACGGGCCGGAGCTGAAATTGCTCACGACCGGAACATAGCCATTGGTTGTACAGAACGAACAAGTGAACGACCATATTTGGCCCTTTAGTCATCCTTACGCAGAAGCGCTGTACGTTTGTCCTGACAATACAGACGTGTTCGGATTCCTCTGTCTTCTTATCGCGTAGTCTGGCAGTCTCAGTGCAGCGTAACCAACAGATCGGCCACCCACGATACAACACGAGGGGACGTACTAGAGCCCATAAGCGGTGCACCACGAAGGAACAATGGGGTCCAAATGGCACTGAATGTAGCAGCGGTACGTGACCAGTTCACGCCGGATTACCACGTCTAAACTGACTACGTATGGTTCCTATAGACGCGGTTGCCCGTGACATCAGATACATTCGTAAGAGGAAATGAACATTTAGACTGAGGCTAAACAACAGTCTCAGTTCTAGCGACGCGAACCCTTCCGCCTCATTCCGAGATTTCTGTATTTTAAGCTACTTAGACAGTAGTTTCACATACCATACTCGCAACCGGGTGGAACGAACACAATGAATTACGGATCAACGTTTTCACCAGAGTGACATACCTCTGGCGCTGTTTGATTCGATGATTCGCTTGATTAAACCATTCGTGTAATAAAACTGGCGACGACGTAGCTCTTCTTTGGTAGATCGATAGAGAAGATGCGACGGAGGAAAACGTCGGTTCGACGGAGGAGAGGAGTCATCTGGATGAAGCATTTCCGCTATTCCGTAATAGTCCCGAATCCCGTGCCACTCAGTGTCGCGAACCGGATCAATGTAGGTGAAGGGGTTTTCGTTAAAGACTCGCGGTTTTTTCGGTTCTTCTTGGTTCGCATTGGTTTGTGGGTCTAAAACAAAAGGTACAGAAAGTGAGAGGGCAAAGAAAACCCGATTGTTTCTTTCAAACAAAGGTTCATAAGTCATTTAACACAGTCCTGAAGCGGGCAAAATGCATTCGCACCTCCTGGCGGCGTAGCCGAATAATCAAAATAAATCTAGTGGGGAGCTCCACACCATCATCGGTGTTCAACTTCGAAGCATTGCTGCCACACAACCATGCTTTATTTGAAAACCTTATTATGAAGAATAAAAGTTGACACGGAACCAAGGTAGGCTAGCTCACTACAATCATTCCGTTGCCTGCAACTCCAGACGCTTACTCAGACAATCACAGAAACTGACGATTAGAACGCCACTACCATCGATTAGCAGTCACATCTTGCACCGTCTCTAACCATGTACTGGATGGTCACGTGGACCTAATCCTAGAGGTCAAATCGCACCAACAGCACTCAACTTTTAGTAACCGCATTCATGCCCCTCTGCCCGGAAGCTCTGCTCATTTCTGCAACCTATGAAGTGCGGCTAATGATGAGAGCTTAGGCTCAGTGAACCTTAAAAATGGGTCAACAATGACTTAGAGACTGAACGGTGTGGGACCACCTGGAGTAACAAGAGGAAAACGCATCCTGCCTTACTTCGAGGAAGCTCAGTGATCAAAGCGTGAACGTATTGACCCGAAGGTTCGTGGCTCGAACCCGACCTCTACATCTCTACTGCTTCCGTCTAGGGTCAGGCAATCTAGGAATATCTCAGTCCTCATGCCTCCATCGGGTGACATGCCACATGGGCAGCGAAAGGGTACCACAGCTTAACGATTATTATTACTAATTATTATCATAATATAAATTCAAACTTGTATGCGTGGGTTAAATTGGTGCCTACGATCCTCCCCAAATTAAACAGATATCATTGTTTCCATCTGGAGTAGTCCGTCCATATAACCTCTCATCTACGAACTTTGAAGTATTGCGTTGGCAATGAATTTGAGTAGCCAATTTCTGCTGATGCTGTGCGATGAAGTGAATTCATGGCAGCATCACTGGCTAGTTTGAACAACCCAACTGCTAAGCATTCCACAAAGTCAGTGGAAGAGTGGTGATAACACGCTCAGAACTGCACAGCAAACAATACACGTTCGGCTTGCCTGTTCAGCTGTCGCACCCTTTCGGTGCCTTACTGCCATGCCATCCAAAGGAATCGAGAGGGCTGGGATACTGCTAGGTTACCCGAACCTAGACAGGAGAGGTTGAGATGCAAAGGTCTGGTTTCAAACCACGGACCTTCCGGTCGGTAAATTCGCGCTCTAACCACTGAGCTACCCCGCTATCCAGTTGCCTTGTAGTTGAACACAGCCCACAAGATCTGCGATATTCTCGACCAGTTCAAGAGTCTTCTTCCTTCAAACTGACCGTGAAACTACTTTGATCGACCATGTCAGGCGGCAGGAATGTTTTGCAGTATTGGAGACAGTAGGACATATCTGAAGACCGACCAGAACAAATGAGCGCTTAATCCCACAACTGCTCACAGCAGGTGTGGAGCATGCGTAACACCTCCTGACCCAGAAGTTCGGACAGGCATGCAGTCGATCGTTTTTGGGACGGTCAGGAAAATATACGCATAACTGAGGTGCGAACACACAACCCGCAGACTTGTAGATCAGGATGGCCACAGTTCGATCCCAAGTACAGTTAAACTCAAGAATTATTTATGAACTCTAAACAGATGCGGAACACAGACTTGTATTCGGGACGGCGGAGGAGTGTATAGACAAAAGATGCGTGCATAAAATAAACAATTGCACTCTGCTTAGGGTAGTCACCGGAAAAAGACAAACAAAGATTCTGAAATGATCGTCCCTTAGCCGAAAAGCTTCAAAGCTGTGACCAATACCAGTGATCATCATCACATTTCCCTCTCAGTCATGTTGTTCAATGCCTCTTCCAGTTTACATGCGAAGGAATTCACACATACGAAGAAAGAGCGTCCGAGCCTCTGTTTACACAGAAAAGCATTCCGCACTCAGTGGAAAAAAGCTGGTCAGATACGTGAATGGTCCAGCGAGGACCTGAAATATACCTTCGCGAAGGTGACTTAATCATGTGAGAGGTCACTGATGGAACAGTTAAGCTAGTCAAAAAATTTACGGGGGAGGGGAGACAAGAGTATGTTGTGGGAAGTGTTGGAAGACCCACCGTGAGGACGTTTGCCTGGTTGGTTCGGATCAGCTGAGTTTTCGAACACAGCAATATCCCCCAAGCCCGGGTAGCCTAAGGTTTGAAAACAAAAAGAAAGGGCAGTGAGCGATTGGCTGACCGGTTTCTTAGTTCAGTTTCGAACACTCCCCAGGTGCGATTGCATCAGCAGCGCATGACTGTGTTATACACCGACGCAAACCTGAACTATCGATGCCTCAGTGAGCCAAATAAAAAAATAATCATTCATCTGTAGCATCCTTTCGACACCTGTCATGCCACACGAAGGAGGAACGGGGGCTGGGATACTGCCAGGTCGCTCAAGCTTAGACAGGGGAAGTTGATAGCCAGAGGTCGGGTTCGAACCACGGACCCTACGGCCAGGAAATTCGCGCCCCAACCAAACCACTTGACTCGACGTTGTTGCCAAATTAGCTTGTTGCGACAATCTGACCTTGAGTAACTCTTGTCACGCCACAAAAACAACTTTTCGTCTCGATTGGTTGCAACATTAGTGCAAGTGGTAGCCACCGCATGGCCCGCGAATCGTAGACTAACGTGAGAAATCACTTTGTCCGTTTACTTTGTGGCATTTGTTTTCTGGAATGTATGGCAACCAGCAAACTGCAGTGTACAGGCAGTACAAATTAAGACAAAAACGAAATTGCACTCAGAACAACACTGCACCGAACAAAAATGCAGACAGCGCCGGAGAAGCAATGTACAACAGCCAACTGACGCCAAAACTGGGAGGCACTCAGCGTAAGAACCCGAAATATGTCACTAGTCGTCCAGCTGTAATATCCTTTAGGTGCCTAGCTGCCATGCCACCCGAAGGAAGTATGAAGGCTAGGATACTGTCAGGTTGCCCAAGCCTAGACAGGAAAAGTCGAGAGGAGGAGGTCGGGTTCGAACAACGGACCCTCCGGTTAGTAGATCCGTGCTCTAACCACTGAGCCATCTCACTGTCACTGAAGGTTCACTGATACTGGGGAATTCGTTCGGTAGCTAACGTGTGAGGTGCATGGGTGCTCCACAAAATTGAAGTTGTGATACGATTATTCCAGCCACGATGGTTGGGTTAGGTTTTTCCTATAGTACCAGAGCCCCAAGAAGCCGGCATCGGGCTATCGAAAAGTTTCAGCAACCTTGAGCTGTGTCAACTGCGGCCTTTGTGCAGCATGTTCCGCTGGTCCGTGGTTCGAACCCGACCTCTGCCTCTCGACTTCCCCTGTCTAGGCTTGGGCAACCTGGCAGTATCCCAGCCCTCGTGCAACCTTCGGGTGGTATGGCAGCTAGGCGCCGAAATGATGTTACAGATGAATGATTTATTCATTTTTTTTATATTCCGCTTAAGAAAATCATAAACGAGCGATTTATTTAAGTCGGCCCTTAACACCAATATAATATACACAGGTCGTTTGGGGCTTTCACCTACAAAAGAATCAGTTAACAAATTTACTGGGTGTGTGGAGCACAGAATTATCCACTGTGGAATTTTAACCACATGCACACAAACGGACAGTTGAAGCGAAGAAAAACGAACCGGCTGACACTCCGGGTTCCGACTCCACAGCAACATCGGTTGCCACAAACGTTCGGCGGGCTTGTTTCATCCATGGAAGCGGAGCAATCTTTTCGAGTACGGCAAGAAAGAACCCACCAGTATTCTGGTCATGAGGCACGATCCGCATGCAGCGCTCCAAATGGAGCTCCGAAACGTCCTCGGGAGGAAAGAGGCTAGGACGAATGTTGGAGTGTTGGCTTTTGGACAAATTAGAGGTGAAAAGTAAAGGAGAGTTTTACAGACAGTAGGACGTAAACGCATACGATTTTTAGCATGAAACGCTTTGGCAACACGTCCCTTTGAGGAAAAATCAATACAGTAATGCTCCCCAAAGAAAGACACGTCAAGATGATGAAATCTCATATGAAATTCCGTCCAATAAGCTAAGCCAATTTATCCTGGAAAGAGGCAGGGAAGCTGACCGGCAACTGGTGGCCGTATGGCGTAGCGTTGGAAGGTCGCGGGGTTGGATCTCCCTCAAGAATTATGAGATGCGCACCACGGATGATGACTCCAAACAAGGACGACAACGCTGCGCAGTGTGATCTTCGGCTTTTCAGCATGAAGTAGCTTCACCTGGAGGATTAAAATTCTAATGAACCCTAGATATATTCTCACTGCGTACATTTGCTAAGTTAATCGCTCTCAAAACTACCTGTATCACGAAGAGAAAGATGCCTCTCAAAAGATATTCTTTTGCGAAGAGAATGACCATGCCGCTCAGGTTGAGTGCGTGCATCCATGTCAAAAACCGTGATCAAAGCTGCAGCTAAGACTTGTCCATTTATACAGGATTTCAGTAAGAAATTGGAGTGGTTTACCAGGATGAGGACACTAGATTAAGTAATGAACCAACGGAAAAGTACAGTTTAGAGTATAAGTCCCAAATTGCAAGCAATAGGACAGAAAACATCCGGCCCTAGCAAACGGCTGATAGAAGAACAATGAATAAAGCTTTCACATGCAATGCTGTTTAGTATCCTATAGTGACTGGCTCAAGAGACCTTCAAATAGTGGTACATGGGACTATTTTGACGAGGCATGCGAACATGAAAAGTGGCAGAACATCGCTGAGAGATATTTATGAAGCATGGACACTGAAGAGTATACACAGAGAGAACACAAAGACTGGGGCATCCCAGAGAGATGAAAAAAGAAGTGCTCAAAAAAAGCAAGTGCGACGCTCGGCCAACAGACCAACTATCAACGAATGCAGCAAACTCGCCAACGTTTTGACATACGCCAAAAAGCATTCACATTAAATATCTTACACGACGACATGTAGTTTCCGCCCCTGTCTACTGGAACCAGCCGAATAGGCCAACCAAAGCTGGTATCTTCCAGCATAGATTGGCTGCGCTTACACAGGATGAACCCCCCAACGGAACTCCCAGATCTCCTCACATTAGTGAACTATGTGGGGCGCATGACTCGGCGAACATAAATCAAGCCGCTTGACGATTGGACTGGTCAAGAACACACACACCAATGAGATCGCTACCGGACTGACTGCGGTAGACTAATCCAGTAGGTTGTTGACAGTGATTTGCCGAATGCCATCAAATCGCCCCAAGGCCGTTTGCCAAAGGGCATTGGAAAGGACTACAGGGCAACTGATATTTAGTTGCCAGAACCCAACGTGTCACCAAGATGGATAACTGAATACCTCTTGACTGCACTAATCACAATCCCCGACAGACAAGCCATCCCAGTTTTAGACGATTTCCAAAGGAGTATGAGCTATTATTACCTTATTCCATATTTTATGACTGTTTCCTGGAAGATACACTGTCAAAACCGAATTTTCACCGAAATTTGTGGTCCGATTTAAAGTGGAAAAAAGGTTGCTAACATCTGGTTTTGCCGGTGGGAGTGGAGTCCGAGTGGTCATCATGATCATCGGCAGTGTAGTATCGGCATTCAACACTGATGCTTCGTTTCTGTTGCATTAGAACTTGTTGTTGGCTGGACATGCTGTAAGGTACGGCCACAATCCGTTCCAAAGAGCGCTTGGGCCGGATCGCTTGGCCGAGTGTTTGACGGTGTAAATGTTCCTGTATGATTTCTTCATTCGGTTATTTCTTTGCTTCACATAGCTCTATTCACAAGAACTCACGTGGGGATCGCCTGGTTCTCGCAGAGTTGATAACTTGACAACCCAGTGGTTTTCACCTCCATGAAGTGTAAGACCAGAGAAGTGAATCGTACCCGCCAAGTGGCATCCAAACCTGCAGTTCTGATGGCCTAGTTTTGTGTCCGCGGCTTAATGCTCCAACCTATCCGACAGGCATTATCCATCAGCCAACAAACTCTACAGCTTAGCATGTAGGCCAAAGTGTTCAAGACTGATAGACCCGTGGTTTCCAATCGTTCATGGTCCGAATGGAAGAAAAATACTGGCAAAAACAGTGGGCAAAAAACCAGTGAGTCCATCGACACGTTGAAATGCGCAACTGCATTGGGTCAACGGGTCTCTGATACGAACGCCATTCAGACCGAGGATCCCGATAGGTTCTGCACAGCCCACTATCAGCTCCGCTTTTCTCGCAGCTCATTAGGTAGACTTAACACCTAACTTTCCATCAGTCCTGTTTCATAAATGAACAACAAATTGCACTAAATTGTAACACCCCTTCATTTTTCTAATACTGCTTGGTAATAAGCACGAGAATAAACCAGCATAAAAACACCGGAGCTTCCAGTAAATTGTGACTGCCTAATTATGTGTCGAAAGCAAGGAAGCTCAAACCACCCTTGTCCACTAGGCGTCTTTCTGCAAAGTTTACAAACAATGAGGCCTAAACATCATAAAATTAAAGATAACTACGGAATACAATACACCTAATTCTTGACAGACTTTTTCTGTAATCTAAGTCTCACTAGTAGAATATACCGACAAGGGAAACCACGTGGATGATGGGATTTTGCCTATCAGGACGTGGACTCCCTTAAGACGTGGCGCACGAAGAGCGCCATCGTGTATGCCCCATGAGAGATATTTACTAAAGGATTACGAAATCGTACTCCATATCAATTCATTTGCACTATACTACGTTACGCAAACATACCTCGGAGGAACTTCCTCAAACTTATCAAACCAACAGCCCTTCTTGTTCATCACACGCCACTTAGTCAAACCAGGACGAACCAAGAACCGATTGGGATCCGCTGCTGTCTTGAGAAGTGTCACAAACGGCAATTTGTCCGGCTCGACCAAACGTACCGACCCCTGACAGGCATGCAACATGTTGGCTACAACAGCTTCGTTCTCCAACGGGTTGAAACTGCAAGTAGAGTAGACAAGACGACCATAGTCCTGTCCATCGGCACAACGGTCACGGAGTAGTTCTAACCCCCGGCGTAGAATGCGTGATTGTAGGTAATGTTCTGAGATGCCCAAATTTGGATTCCACCGAAGCCATAAGTCGGGATTTTTACGCAACGTTCCATCTCCACTACAAGGCACATCTGCCAGTACACGGTCGAAAAGGAATTGTTCATTCACCGTGGTCTGATCCTACGAAAGTTTCAAAACAGAAGTCAGTGCCGGAGATGACGTGAACCCAATGAATTTGTGTACAACGGAGGCGACCATGAGATTATGAAAACGAAATGAAGAGAGACGGGATACCAGAACCCGCCAGAGTAAACCTTATCAAGATGTGTGGAGAATGTGAAAGATAGGCAACTAGAATGCTATCTCAAAGACCGACTGTCCTGAAGAGCACCATTTGGCCAGTCTCAATGAAGTAATTGCGTCTCGTAATGAAGTATTATGCTCCGAAAAAGAAAACTTCCACTGAAATAATGGCACAGCGAAGCTTCTGCCACAACAAGCGCTCTCTCTACAGCTACCTTACCTCTAGTTGCATCGAAAGTACGGAGTGTGAACACAAAGCAGCCAGAAACTGACGCAATGGTGTGTCAAGAATTACGGAACGAAACGACAAGCTTGGGGTGTTTATGTATCCGTCCATAGTATACATCGGAAAAGCATAAAACTGGCAGTGCCCAGCAGAATGTGAATGAGGACAGATCTCCCAACTGTTGGAGGACGAAACCCGTGTGCCTACTCGAACTATAAACATAAAATTGGATATACGTTGCTGATGTCAAGGCCTCGTTGTATTAACAATGGTGAGATAACTGTTGCGAGCGGGGTTCTGGCGGTGATGAGACCATGGAGTGGTGTATTCTCGACTGATCCATCCTACAAAATACGGCGTAAGTCCAATGAGGATGTTATATGGCGAGCGTTACTGTCCTACAAGAGAGTTTTAGATGTCACACTATCGTTTTTCATCCTTCTTCCTATACTGATGAAAAAGTAAGTGCAAACAAGATATAAAACGGGGTTTGAAGGCAACACGATGGCGTGCATGCTGAGATCTGAGGCAGGGTCATCGAAACGAAGGACGGAGATGTTGGTCGCTGGGCTACCCGGGCTCAAACGCAGAGAACATGAACACCTGGTAAGTATTTGGTGCTACTGGTTTGGCGCACCAAACGTATGAACTCCACTAACAACCATGGAAGCATCTTGCCTTGCATGTAGCGTTTAAGTGCCAGGTGCGAACTCGGACAAACGTCAGATCCGATGGAGTAAGTGGATGAAATGATCTTTCTGACGATTCTGCTTACCGCAACCCATTCACAATGCCTTGCAGTCTATGTTTAGTTGTGAGAAGGCCACGAATGCAGCCTAGAACAAAACCTGTAAGACGCTGGGGACCTCACTCGTAAAAAAGCCCAATACAACTCCATGATTACGTCGCAATTAAGCTGCTGATTGTGCTCACGGGCGACAGCGACTCGGGGCATTCTTGCAGCCGGTTAATCCTTCTTCAGGAAGGTGAGCTCCAAGGTTCCTAAATTGATAGCAAAAGGTGACAGTTTGCTCCTTCCAGGTACCCACAATAGTATATTATATAGATGAACCATCATACAGCAGTCTATATGGTCCGAATTATTACCTCATACTCGGGCAAGTTGTATTGCACAAGCACAAATGTGATACCGGACCTAGGTTAGTTAGCACACTGCTCACGTCCGAGCGAACAGTGCGAAATGTTGTCCAGGAAAATGGCGTCTTCAGAAACTTCGCTCCAATATCAATTTCCGCAGCACAGGCAATTCGGATGGGGTGGGGTGACGGTGCCCTGCTGAGGATACAAATTAATGTACTTGTTTGGACGGAGACAGAGGTAGTGTTTACTCACTTCAGAACATTATTCACGACATGATGTTGGAAAGGAAACACCGGTCTTAACAGAAAACGGAGTTTTTAGAAGATCTGAAGGTATACAAGGGTGCGACGGTGAATAACCTAAAAGCTGGACAGAAAGGTAAACTTCATTCAAATATGATCACGATTAAACGGGTGCGACCAGATTTCCCATGTTTACTTCACGGGCTTCGCGTTAATTGTATATTTTCAAAGTAGAAGAATGTTAATAAAATATCAACTTCTCTTACTGCACCTTGAATTTCCTGCAGAGTTCAAAGTCATTTGCTACGAGAGAGCGGGTCTCACGGTAGTTTTCAGTCAGCGTGATCGTAACGGGTCGTTAAAGATGTGCTCACTTTCTGGTAACTCCAGTAGCAACAAATCAATGCGATTAACACCACCAGAGTACCACAACAAGCAAAATGGCTCTTGACGCCAATATTTTCACATGAGAGTCAGAATACTTGAGACAAAAGGTACGGTTATCTTGTGCGACAGACAATCCTGACAGCCGAGAACGCGGCGTCATCTCCCGTAACTCATCTTAAAATAGATAAGCTTGTGTCCAAAGTGTGAAGTTAGCGTACCTGAGTGGCTGTTGTCCTTAACCGTGAAAATGTGTTCAACGTGCAGTTTCAAATACTTTTGGTAGCAAGGCCTGGGGAGATAAGAACGGCAGCCGATGACCACTATACTTGATATCAAGCTAAATTAAGGAAAACTGTATGTACGGTGAGGTGTATCTTCCTAGAGAAAGTTTATCCAGCGCAAAGAGACTGTGTGCAGACCATCATAACGGGACTTTAGAACTACTGGACAGCACAATTTCTAATGCTGGTTCACGAAGGCGAAAAGATGTCTTCATGAAGAAGCTTTCATCAAAGAACGGGTTCACTGCACTTCGACAGGTGGATAACTCATCAGCTTACTTTTTCTGTGGATGACTGTGGAACATAAAGCTTCGGAAAACACGTTGCATCCTCCTGTGTGATCATGGTGCACGGGCTCTGAAGGCGTTTGACCTGATGCACCATCATATAGCAACGTTTTTGATCGACGTCGTTTGCGACTACCATTCCCGTGGGTTCAGAATAAGGCCAAGCATCATTAGACACCTCTGTGACGCATTGAGACTCTGCATCAGCATGTAGCAGCTCGACCAGTTGGGCAGATTTGGAACCAGGTGCGGCACACAGATCCAGCACGGCATGGTACGACCGAACATCCAGCACGAGTGGAGGGAGCATGCTAACTGCCTCCTGGCGACTGATGTTACCTTGACGCAGACGCATGAGGGGGTGGTTGAAAAAAGAGGTTCTACGATAACCGTAAGTGATTGTCACGTGCCGATAGAAAAACTACGCAACCCTCTCATACACACTCACCCGATTCCATTTCGGAAACCAAAAACTGATGGAGCACTTTCAGCTCCGGTGTCTTCCTCACAACGAATCTGTCTGTGTCCAACTGCCAGGCTAGCTCGTCCGGGTACCATGGCAGTGCTTTGAAAGTGATATGGTTATGTGATTGCCCATCTTCAGATGACGGGAAGATAATCTGACTTATCTCCTCGCGATACCGATATTTTATAAGACGAAGAAGTTCTTTATTCTGTTCCCGGAATCCGGTGACGCGAAATGTGATCGGGAGGTCCTGCTGGAGGTGGTACATGAAATCTGGCCACTCCGACTCCGATACAATGGATTGTCCCCGATAGTACTCCTCGAAAAGTGCATTACGTTTCGTATCTTCAGTGAAGCAACGACGGCCAACGCGCGGTCTTCCATGACGCCCCATGATCTGCAAGACAAGACAAACATCCAGCCTTTGTATGGAATTCATCAATGGCAGCTACAAACGTGCGTACATTTCGGAAATGAGAGGACAACTGGGTACTAAAAGCAGTAGCTGAAGGGTGAAACTGGACTCACTGCGCTAAAAAAGCACTATCATATGGCGGTTTGTGTACCTCTGTAACCCACTGAACTATACTGGGAGGTCCAATTTTGATACGCTCAGAACTTCTCACACTGCGCTGGTCAACGAGGTTGGACGAAGTCTCCTGGTTTCCGAGGTTGAGGACTGGAACATTCACGGCCGCGGAATTAATTCGGCCTTCAGTGATTACCAAAACTCTCACAGAACTGGTCGGAAACTACGGAGGCCACACTTGTTTGCCAACCTTTCGTTGTCAGTAGACGCAACCGTGTCAGGAACGCCATGGTATCCCACCGAAATACGTAACAGAACCAACGTCTGTTATTAACGGTCAATCTTAATGGGTTTATAAGTTTCTGGAGGAAATTGGACGTCCTCTCAGCCGCTACTCCACCGAATACGTAGCCGAACGTGACTCAGTTATGGGATTCGCCGAGCAACAAGCCCAAGACTATATCACATGCCCCATGAAAAGTTGTTTCAGATGACGGATGCCGTCTCCTAAAGCAGTCGCATCGGGTGACGGAGGTACAGTGTGCTGCTGGCCGTCAACTTTTTCAGGTACTGAGGCGTTCCCAGCTTTAGAAGGAATTCGACGAATCCGCTAGTAGTTGTCACTCTCTCTAAGGCACGCTCAAGGTCGGCATGACGTGCTGGCGTGGTCGCCAATTTATAGCAAAAAGGCCTCAACACCATCATCATCATCGACAGCATGATATCAGTGTTCAACACCGATGCTTCACTGCCGTACAACCGTGATTTAGTTGAAAGCCTTATTGTAAAGAAAAGAGTAAAGGTGGACAGGGGACTTAGTGCTAGCTTACTACAATCATTCCGAGGTGCCTACACCTCCAGACATTCACTCGGGCAATCTGGATAGAAACTGACAACAACAAAGGCTTATTGACTTGAAGAAGGATCCATTCAAAAAGCGCACCTATGGAGGGACGCTGAAAAGGGATCTAAGTGGAATGTCACTTACGCTAGGGGGTGTGTTGACGGAGTTTCCCTCCCGTTCTGAAATACAGTCCGGAGGTAAAATGAGTGGGGAGAGCAATTTGCTTATTTGCACTTCGAACTGGGATGCCATACAAGCCGACACAGCGCTTTACATATTCATACTCCTCCTGTTACTCGTGTCGTCCGGATCTATTTGTGGAATGCTAGGGAGTGCACTTGCGGGTCCATCAGGCAAGCTCTTTATGTTCGCCGTGATGATACACAGATAGGTAATATGGAGCCACCATCGGTGGTACCAACTGTGTCAAACCTAAGTAGTTAATCCGCAAGTGACGCTAAATAAGTTTTCTCGTCATGCGGGGACTTTTTGGTTCGCAACAGTAAGCGCCAGACAAAAGTAATGTAATAAGACAGATGCTTGATTGCCTTCTTGGTTAAGGAAGTCAAGATGGCTCATTAGTTAAAGCGCGAACTTACTGACCTGAAGAACCGCGGTTCAAACCCAACCTCTTCATCACGATTGTTCCCGACTAGGTTTGCGCAAACAGACAGAACTTCAACTCTCGTGTTTTTTGGATAGCCTAGTAGATAGGCACTGAAAAGGTGCTACAGATGAACGGCTCGTATTTATTTTATCTTGTATTTATTTCCTGGTGATGAGTTTGTCTGCTTCACAGAATTTCAATTTAAGTAGCGAGAGACTAGAAGAGGAACAGATGGTGCTACACTGGGGGACATTGTTTGCTGGCATCCAAATGTGATTACAAGTCGATCATAAAAGGTGGAGCTACTTCACAATCTTTCGGTTTTCCGTGTACACGTCATCACATTCTTGAGCCCATGGGCGTAATAAAAGAGACTTTCAACGGGCTGACTCAATAAACGCACCCAAGTGTGTAAATTTCGACTACCGGAACCAACGTCAATGGGATTGGCGAATGTACGCGAGCAATGGTCGGCTACATGAGAGGTAGGGGTGGCTTCCGGTTGCCGCACTGTCTTAATTTGGACACGGACATTCGCGATTGCTCCTTTGATTAAGCAGCCGGGACGGAATGTCGGTATCCTGTGCAACTTAAAGACGCCATGGGACACCTGAATTAACCTTCCGTCACGGTGCTGCTTCTGAGGCACTTACATTTCTTGTTGACCTCAATCGTGAAACAGTGATATCGAACACTAAACGGGGGACTTTGTCTATCAAATAGATGGGCCATGTTCTCGGTGGTATCCGCAAAGTAAAGGCCATGATGGAGTCTGGAGAGTGCAAAACTTGCACAGCGAAAATCAAACTTCCCACGCCATAATATTGGGCGAATTCGGCTTGAAGAATATGTTTTCACTTTTCACGTTAACTTTGGAAACTCACCTAGAAGCAGCGAAGTTCGATTCAGTAAACCGGCAGCATGTGTAATAATAGACAAGTGACTTTTCCGGGTTCCTGCATTCACTGATTGTCGGACTTCAAGTGGGCCTTATTCGAGTTTCTTTAAGCTACTTTTGATGGCGCCTTGAAACTGCCTGGAGTTGCTCCGCTGAAACTGATATCGCGGGTTCGAATTATCGAGTTATTTTGGTACTCAAACCTCGTGTTGGGCCTTAAGTTTGTTGTTCCGTCTGCTGTGATATATTAAAGCTACGGCAGGCTAGGACCACCTACAGCGGAAAAGCAGAAACTGCCAAGACTGTGCATTTAAAGCGATCACAGAAACAATCACAAAACCACGCTAGGGTCCACACGGTGAAGCGAGAGGCACCAACCTAGAACGTTTGGTCCTGACTGACCAATCAGGCGCGCCCTTCCCGGATTCACGGATTCACGGATGGATACACAGGTCCACACGTGAAGCGAGAGGCACCAACCTAGAACGTTTGGTCCTGACTGACCAATCAGGCGCGCCCTTCCCGGATTCACGGATTCACGGAAGGATACACAGGATCGAGGATTTTGCCCAAGTTTCCCGGGCCGGGTTTGTTCTTGTCGGTCAGTGGCTGTCGTTCACCTGAAAGACACAAGTGAAAAAAGGGTGTAGCACTGCTGTTTATGTTC